TCACCATGTTGACCAGGATGGTCTCGATCTCTTGACCTCGTGATCCACCCGCCTCGGCCTCCCAAAGTGCTGGGATTACAGGCTTGAGCCACCGCGCCCGGCCCATCTCTGGCTTTTGAACTTTAACAAAAGTAACTTCAAAGGTTTTCTGAGAAAGGAAATTTCAAGACAGCTCCTGGAGGGGAATAGAATCAACAAAATAAACAAGAAACTACTCATTCTGTGAGCTGGGAATTGAACCCTGAAGCCGGGCCATCACTGTGATGGTGGAGATCAAGAGAAAATAATGTAACATGATTACAGAGTCAAGCATCCAAGGACATGATTGATCAGCTTTCTGGGCCGTCTTAAACAGCAGGCTTATGGGGTCCTACGCCAGCATGCTATTCTAAGGTACCCCTCTTAATAATGGAACAATACAGAAAGACATTTATAGCACGAAACACAACAGATTTGTTAACGGCTGAAGACTAGCCCCACAAATGCATGTTCCAATTAAAACTTCACAGAGAGGCTGGGCACAGTGGCTCACACCTGTAATCCCAGCACTTCGGGAGGCCGAGGCAGGCAGATGAGGAGGTCAGGAATTTGAGACCAGCCTGGCCAACATAGTGAAACCCGTCTCTAGTAAAAATTTAAAAATTAGCTGCTCATGGCGGTACGTGCATGTAGTCCCAGTTACTTGGGAGGCTGAGGGAGGAGAATCGCTTGAACCTGGCGAGGTAGAGGTTGTGGTGAGCCAAGATCGTGCCTCTGTACTCCAGCCTGTGCAACAGAGCAAGTCTGCATCTTAAAACAAAAACAAAACTTCACAGAGGAAATAAACAGTAATTTTTACCATTTATTCAAGCAGCTTGCATATATAGAGAGAAGCCAGAAGTCTGATTGGTAAAATTTGTACACGTTTGGCCAGGCATGGTGGCTCACATCTGTAATCCCAGCACTCACTCTAGGATGCCAAGGTGGGCAGATCACCTAAGATCAGGAGTTCAAGACCAGCCTGGCCAACATGAAGAAATCCTGTCTCTACTAAAAATACAAAAATCAGCTGGGCATGGTGGTGGGCACCTGTAATTCCAGCTACTTGGGAGGCTGAGGCAGGAGAATTGCTTGAACCTGGGAGACAGATGTTTCAGTGAACTTAAATCATGGCATTGCACTCCAGCCTGGGTAACAAGAGCGAAACTCC